ATGTAGAGGAAATGGATTGGAGCGTGGGCCAGATTATGGCCACAGTGGAGAAACTTGGTTTGAGAGAAAACACATTTGTGTATTTCACATCTGATAATGGACCTCACTTAGAAGAAGTTAGCAACACAGGTGAATACCATGGTGGCTGGAACGGGATTTTCAAAGGAGGTAAGACTGTAAAATCAGAAGATATTAGCCAAAAGCTAAGTACTAAGCGAGAGAAAAACTCTTCTTCGATTTTTCAAGACATATTCTTACTGTTACCGCTCGCTCATCTACCTCTTCCATTTTCTTGTTGATGAGAATTGCAAAACTTGAATGGAAATTTTTATATGCTGGAAAGTTGCTCACTAGAAAGACAAATGTTAAAAAAGTGCCAAAAATCCAAAAAGTTGCTAACAGAATTTCAAAAGCTGCTACCTAAATTTCTTGTTTTCATATAGACGTTGAGTGCTTTATTCTTCATTCTTCACAATAACTGCTTATCCTTGTCAAGAAACGTATAGCTTGAATCTTTCGGCAAAACTGTCTTTCCGTCAGTTTTGCCGATGGTTTAAATTTGCTGCTCATATATGCATATGATAAACGGAACTTTTGAAAAATCCCGTGTGTATTTTAAAGCTGTTTCCGCCGCTGTTCCAAAGTGGCCATATACGGTCATTTTTAATCATTTAACAAAGCCTATTTTAATCAAAGTTGATCCACTTTTCTTGATATGATTTAGCTTTAAAGACCAAACGTGGGTGAAATTTAAGGATACCAATAAGTGTAACGGAACAAAAAACATGGTTCATTTGACTTCTTACCGAACGATAAACTACCCCTATACAGATTGCATTCAATAATTCATCAAAATATAACAAGGAAATTGTGATCGTGACGTTGGTTTACTGTTTTTTATTCTCTGTTTTCTCTTACCTCTTATTTCTAATTTCCAGTTTATCGCGGTTTCTAGCATTTGGAAACTCACCCAAATATTCCAGTAGACTGACACTTCCAAGTTTCAGGTTTGGACATTGAAGTTTAAACACTACGTTCCAGCGAGAACTCGTTACCATAAAAAGTTAAATCTTCATTTTTTGTTGTCTTGATAGGGAAAGGACAGTGTTGGGATGGTGGTGTGAGAATGCCTACAGTAGTATCATGGCCAGGTCACATTCCAGCTGGGATCTCAATTGATCAGCTCACCAGTTC